AAAATACTTTTCTTTATACTTTTAAATATTTGAAGTATCCAATAGGTATTCATTTGTTTTCGCTTAGTCAAAGAATTTCTGTACATGCAGAAAAACAGTGAGGTTTTACGTATTTATATATAAATTATATAAAATATTATAAATATTACATATTTATGCAATAATAAAAGAAAACGTGTGATTTTGAAGCTCGAAGTCTCATAAAATAAATGAAGCACCCTGTATGTCAGTATGTTGCATAAAATTAAACGTTGGCCATTTCTGATTACTTTTACAATGACAAAAATTCTGTCGAATGAAGGAATTCGCGATCTTTAAATTGAGTTGAATAAATGCGCTCATCCCTGCTTATATTATCTGATTCAGTAAAAACGTTTTAGGAAGTGAAGGAGAATAACCAAACGAAATGGTACAAGAAAATGTACGACTCGTTGCACCGCGCGGACAGAAACGGTAAGTTTTTAATAGAATAAAAACTGTAGGCAATCGCCGAGGAAAAATTAATAATTTGTTTTAAGGAAACAGTAGTAAATTACTCTCTAGAGCACCTAACGTATAAAATAATTTTATAGCGGTAAGAAACGACGATCCGAAGATTGATTTATGATGTAATTTTCAGATGATTACGTAACCATTCGTTACAAACCAAGAAGAGGTGAATACACACGCGTCGTGCTATAAAATTACAATAGCAAACGAACTAACTAATAATACAGCTTAGTCGAATTAATTAACATTTTCTCGAGAATGGCCACCGAGATTCGCTGAGGTTCGCCGAGGTCTTCTGTAACTAATTGTTAATGCGTGAAAGTAACCAATAAATAATTTATTCATACAATAATACCATCCTTTATTTAACAACCTGCTAACACTCAATGTCTATTGCAGCTTGATTTCTAAACGATTTATTTACACGCAACAGCGATTTTTCACGCTTGAGCCTGTGACTCCAACTGGAATCACCTGTGCACAAATCTGAGCTACGCCATTGCATGATTAAATCTATTTGGAGATTATCCGCATAACAGATTGTATGACTTTGTTTTGAATTGGATAATTTTGATTTTCTTTTTCGTATAATATAGAGAATTTCCTTATCTTATATACAAAAATGTTATAATAACGATTTAAATATTACGTGATACTATAATTCAATTTCTTGGTATTGTGCATTCAAGAAAAACATATTTTGAGAATTATATATTAGATTGATTAGGAAAATTAGTATTACTAATTATTATTGATTATTATCGACCGAAAGTTAAGGAACTTGTGTCATTATTAAACTGCGGATCTAATGCATTTGTCGTAAAAATGAGAATTTGTAATATGAAACAAAATGATTAAAAGATGATGAAATGGTGCAAACAATTTGTATTTTGCGCAAATATCTGTAGTCTAGATATTACAATAATATCATCATAGTAAATTGATTATTGTATGTTTGATACTGAAATTTCTTTCCCATCATTCCGATATAATTATTTTAAACTATATTATATGTATTAAAACATAGATGACATTCTGTGGAATTTGTTAGTAGAACTAAATGTATAGCAAAGAAGGCATTCATTAAAAATGTAGACTACGTTTTTACAAGTTATAATAATCTTTTTTTTATTGATAATTAAGTTACTGTATTATAATTATTTATAACTTCCTGGTGATGGATTAAATTTCACGTGTTCAAATATGGAAACAGTGCATAGTAAAGTGTAATTTCATTCTTTTTCAGGAACCAGGTACGGTTACGGAAGTGGTTATTTAAGTGAACCGGAACATCGCTTGTATACGGAGCGTTCTGCAACGATTGACAGCCACCGACGTCTGCGCAACAAAGAAAATGACTTCTCCACATCTACTATGCCCAGAAAGTATGAAACACATTTGATTATTGTTTCGCTAATTTTTTCGGAACTGATTATACACCGAAGGAAGTTATTATGTCAAGTACCTGCAGCATATATTTGTATTGTAATTACATCAATCATTCATACACACAGTAAATTATTTTGCATAAGAAAATATATTGAAAATAAAAATTGTATCGTGTAAAAAGGTTCTACGTTAGCAAAATTATAATTTGTTTAAATTTCTTGGCATCAGAAAAGTTCTTGTGTCCATGAAGTTTCGATATATGTATACAATTTCACATGTTTTGATGTAAACCAAAGCGTTATATTAAAGCTGAATAAACGATTTATTAGAATATTTATAATAGAAACTATA